GGTAAAAACAGAAACTTATCCGTACGCTACAAAATATTTTAAATATGAAATTCATAAAATATTTATCTTTACATCACATTATGACAAGGTGATCTATCAGAATGTATCTTTGAGATGTAGGTTTAAAATTACTTGCCGTAATGAACATTCTCTTGTCCACCTCAAACCGAATATTAACGACATGACGAAAGTTTTCTGTGGATTTAACACAACGAATTTAAAACAACTCTTGCTGTTTCTTTTCTAGCACTTCTCGCTTGTGGGGAGCATTCTACCGGTTTCATGTTTTCCAACCAACTTTAATCTTCAAAAATCTAAATGTAATCGTTATCTACTGTCTTCTTGATTACTCTTCTCTTTTTCTCGCTCCTTAATAATGTTTCTCTTTTCCCTTATTCTTTCACACTCATAAACCCCTTGTGTCTTAGTAGCTTTATTGCCTTGCATGGGGTGATATGATTAAAAAACATTAAAGAACAAATTTTGGAGCAGTAGATAAAGAGTACCAAGTCAACGATACAGTATATCAACAAAAAATAGGGAGAGACTTTTTTTTAAAAACATTTCACTCTAAGCAAGGCAATAAAGCCACCAAGACACAAAGAGTTACTGAGCGCTAGAGAATATGAGAAAAAAAGACTATTAAGGAGAGCGATCAATCTCGGTGTCTATATCAAGGAGGGTGTTCCCTGTGACAGGGACACAAAAACGGGGACACTGATCTCCTGTATATGTGTTTTGCGTGGCACTTATACATAGTACCACATTCATCTTTGCCCTGTATCGTCCACAGGATGAACGTTCGATAATCTTCGATCGAATATCAGAGAGTATTGACAATATCCTCACCAAATTTCCCTCGGTCAATTTTCACATATGCGGTAACTTCAACATTCACCATAAAGAGTGGTTAGTCCACTCTAACAAAACCGATGAGGAAGGCAAATATTGCAGAGTTCTCCATCCCATATGAACTAACCTAAATCATTGAAGTATCTACACAAGTCCCGGATGCGACGCGACAGTAAGCGAACCTCCTCGTCCTTATTCTAACATCCTGCCCCGACAAATTTTCAACAGAAATTTTAGCCTTCATTGGCACGTCAGATCATTCTCTAGTCAGTGTCCAGATTGACTCCAAATCTATGACATCCCTTGATTTACCGTTCTATAGAACGGTTTTTTGCTATGCGGAGACAGACTGAGACAGGTCCTATATAGCGGAAGCTTCTCTCTTAACCTTCTTCAAACATGCTGCCCCCAAAACTACTGCTCTAATTTCCGAGTGGATCCTTTCTGGAATGAAATGTTTTTTACCCCCACAAAAATTCCAACAAAAACCCTAGTTCATCCCTGAATGTTCTGCAGCCATAGCTCCTTGGAACCACTACTTCAAAATATATCGCAAGGAGCGATGTAGTCTGGCCCTTACTTCTTTCAGAACCGCTTGCAATCGCTGTAAGAGAGTCCTGAAAAACGCAAAGTGAAGCTACGCGCGATCTGTCCAGGCTAAGGTTGAAAATCGAATCTCTCGAATTCTGGAAGATCACCAACCAAATTATGAACAGAGGCAAAGCGGCTGTGCCCACTATTATAAATGGCCCTGAGACAAGGGGAAACTCTTCGCTTCAAACTCAACATTAGATGACAAAGGCCATCCTCTCCCCAACTTCTCATGTCTTACTGAGCACAATCTCATTAATATATTCATTTCAGCAACAGAAGCCTCGACCCACAAAAAGCTACTGGCCCAGACAAAATTCAATGATCGTCCTTAAGAATGTCAACCCAGAATTATCCCCGATTCTAGCAAAGTTATTTAACCGCTGCTTGAAAGAGAAATATTTCCCAAGCATGTGGAAGGTGGGAAGCGTACATCCAGTCTTCAAGAACGCCGGCAATCGATCTTTCTCCTCCCAGTATAGACCCATTAGTCTATCATTAGTAAGCTTTTTGGGGCCTTAATCAACAAGAAGGTAGTTGAGCACCTGGATAGGAACAACCTCTTGTGCAACGAGCAGTATGGGTTTCGATCAGACCAATCCACTGCTGACGACCTAACTACCATTACACACAGAATTAGTGAGGTCCTTGACGACACATATACCGCAAGAGCCATAGCATTAGATATCTCGAAGGCCTTTTACAAGGTGTGGCACAAAGGTTTACTACACAAGCTCTCCAGCTATGGAATCATTGGAAGGGTTTTCTCAATTATAAAATTGTTCTTAACAAGTAGATCCCTGAACGGCCAGTCCTTCGAGGCCCTGGCGGTCAACGCAGGCGTCCCGCAGGGGTCACTTCTCGGATGAACCCTCTTTCTGATTTACATAAATTATCTAAGAATATACTGCGACCATTTGTAAACATCTATTCCGATAATACGACGATATACGGGGGCATCTCTAAAAGTTTTGATGATCAGAGACTGACAACTGACCTCTCTTCCGATTTAACACTAACTTTCCAGAGTGAAAAAACTGATTACATCCAATGCCTCTAAAACCAAACTGGTTACATTTCGTCACCGTCGGTCAGACCCCAAACTACCGCCAGTCACGACGGACGGATTTCCCCTCGAGGAGGCCCCGTTCCTTGAGAGAATATTGGGTCTCAAAATCACACCCGACTTCAAGAGGAATTCCTATATACAATCTATCGCTAAAGATGCAATAAAATGATCGGTTCCCTGTACCGCTCCATTAAGTACCTGACTGCTCATGTTATCCTCTACCGTTATAAGAGCCAGGTCAACCCGAAAATTCTGTTGCCATATTTGAGCAACAGCTGCCCAGCCTCACTTTCCAGTCTTGATAGAGTTCAAAAGCGTCTCCAAGTCCCTCTTGGAGAAGAATTATTTTCTCATTCCAACTTCTCTCTCACTGGCAAGACGTGTCGAGTCTCTCACTGCTCTATCGCTCCTACCATGGAAAGTGCTCGTACGAACTGCGTCTCCTGATTCTACCAGGTTTAACCTTCACGGCTAGAATCCGCCATGCCACTTACATAGTAATAAACCACCCTTATTCCCTCCGCATTCCATCGGCGAGAAGTAAGTTGCACTCAAACAGCTTTTTCCTGCGAACGATTGCCCTATGGAATAGATTCCTAAGAGGATGTTTCCTCAATCGCTACAATCTTGACCTTTTCAAGTTTAGAGTCAACCATTATCTTCCCCTCCTCTCTCCATATAAATTACCTATAACTTAACCGTCTAATGTGGCCTTGTACAGGGTGAACCTTACTGTAGAAAAATAAAAGTTGTTTCATTAAGACGGATTATATATAAGGATATTTCATTAAGAAGGATCAAAGTCAGCAGTAAATAAATCAATGTTATTAGTGGAAATTTATTTATTTCCCTATTGGATCATGTCATTTAAGTCATGCCAATTATGTTTGGAAAATATTATCGCCCAAATGTCTGCCAAATCTGAAAGAAAATGAAAAAAATCATTAGACGCTTAAACTTAATTCACATTTAAAATCGGTCCAAGTTATTGGAACACTCTTTATTTGCATTTAAATTTTTGAAGATCAAAGTTGACTAGGAAGCAATAAACCAGAAGGGAGTTCCACAAGTGAGTTGTGCAATAGAAGAAACTGTTAATATAGAACTTACGATTACATCTAGACATTTAATATATTCGTATTCATAAAGGTTTGGTTCCTGGTAGTTGCAAGTTAAATCCTTGTGTCAAATAGTGCAGTTCGTTCCACAAAGATCATTATGTACGGAAAATCTCTTAACTGATACAAGATGGCACTGGAGCACAGGAAGTGGGGATGGGAACAATCTAGATGCATGGAATGAATAATATGTTCATTTTACAATTTCAAAAGCTACCTGAAGAAGCCCAGCTAAATCATTGTCAGTATAACCACCAAGATTAATATACTAGTCAATAGAAATGCAAATGAAAAAATTAAAAATGGCTGACAATATTTCATCCAACAATGATAATAATTAATAATTTTTTTCATGCCAGGACGTAATTGTCTATTGAAATTGTAAAACGAACATATTCAATCCATGCATCTAGATTGTTCCCATCCTATTTGATTCCCAGCCTGGAATTTGAACCCATTACTCCGATTCCACTTTCCGCGTCGATATCCGTTATCACAACCACTAACAATATCAAATATGGCAGCCAGTGAAAAAAAAAAAAAAAGATAAAAGGTAAGGTTATATGGCTGGATTTGTTTTTCAGCAAAAAAGTTTTTGTAGCTGAACTGGCCGAGCAACTGATATTGTTAACCAATCTTCTCGACGCAAAGGTAGACTTCAATAGCAGCAGTAAGAAAAGCCTCGTTAAATGCAATGGAGCGTGACGGAAGTAATAGCAACAGTGGCAGCAGCATGCAGATTGTGTTTAAGATTCCAAGTACTAGACTCAGGATTGTCCCAACGGGACAAAAGCCTAGTGCATTAAAACGTTTGTTCGTGAATTTGGTGGCATATTAATTGTTTGAACTCAGTATGAGTGTAATCCCTAGGTCGGGTTGTGTAGACTTAGACACAGTGTAAACAAAGCGAACAATACTAGTAGCAATAATACTAAAAGTAGTAGTAGTAAATATAAAACAAAATGAGATATCCCTAGACACAGGCAGTGGAATGAGAACAATTTACCTCACCACGTAGATTAAATAAAGGGTTCAGTTCGAAATAATCGGACTAAGGAAGACTGGAGGACACAGCGGTCGAATAGTTTTGATAATAATAACAAAAATGAGGACAATAGTCCGAATGCAAATAAGATAAATAAAGGGATACGTGTTTGAGTTTTGACTGGAACTTATTCTTTATTTCTGATCCATGCTGTAGTATTTACTCACTGTTGTAGACTGACGCTCTGAGTAGAGTTGTAATGGAAAGAATCTAAAAAATTAAGTTGAAACAAATAATGTTTGGAAGATTAATAATGACTAACATTGTTTTTAAACTGTTTCAGTTAATTATATTAATCTACGTGTATGTTGCCTTTGATCAAGAGGATCACTACTGATTTCTTTTGGCTTACTTTCTCTTTCTCCTCTATTTCATCCTTTTCTTTCCTTTTTTCTCTTCTCTTCTCCCAAGCTAATTTTTTTCTTTCACTTTCTTTTTACCTTTTTTCTTCTCATTTCTAAATCAACTCTTTCTCCTAATTTTCACTTTTCCTATCTTACTATTTATTTTCTTTTTCCTCTTTGTTCTCTTTTGTGCTTACAAGGTTTTCCCTCTCCTTAAACTTCATCTATATCTCTGCTATAAGGCCACAAGTATGGGACACCGATTGAGAATCGAACTTACTGCTCAGTAGAAACGATCAGTTGGACTAGCTGAAGCATCCTCTACTCTCTATCTCACAGTTATCCCTCTCTTTTCTCTAAGACTTTTCTCTTTCTATGTCTTACTCTTTCTTTCTCTTTCTCTGTGTTTTATATCTCTTCAACTCTTTTTTTCCATTCTCCCTCTTTTGATTCTTTCTCTCGAAATCTCTCATCGTTCTTTCTCTCCACTTCTCTTCTTTGTCTGACCTTCTTTTTCTTTTCTATTCCGTTCTCTTTTTCCTTTTATTCTTCTTCAACTCTTTCTCTTTTCTTTATTTTCTATTCTCTTTTTCTTTTTTCTCAAACTCTTTTTCTCTTCCTTCTTTTTCCTCTAACTTTCTTTCTCCTTTTATATTTTCCTTCTATTCAAACCTCAGTCTATTTTTCTTTTCCGTTTTTTCTTTTTAACACTTTCTCTCTCCTTTTTTCTTTTCCTTACTCGCTAACATATTCTCTTCTTTTCTCTTTTCTCTTCCGATTTCTTCCGTCTCTCCTTACTCTTTTTCTTTTCCTTTCTCTCTAAAGTTTTCTTGCTTTCTCTTCCTATCTGTATCGTCTCCCCTTTACATCTTTCTCTTTCCTTACTCTCCATCACCTTATCTTTTTCTCTTTCTATTTCTCTCATCTTCTCCTTTACTCTCCTTTCTATCCTACACGTTTTCTCACTGTCATTCTTGTCTACCCATTTCTCCGTCCTCCTTTTCCTGTCTCTCCAACATGTCCTCTTCTTTTCTCTTCCTATTTCTATCATTCACTTTCTCCTTGCTTTATCTCTTTTTTCTCTTCCTACCTTTTTCATATCCATCTTTCTCCTTTTTCTTTCTTTCTCTCCAACTCTTTCTATACTTTTCTGTATCCTTTTATTCTTTTTTCTTCCAACACAATCTCTCTCTCTCTTTTTCTTGTCTCTATCTTTATTGCCATTATTATGAAGGCCTTTATCATTTTCTTTCTCTTTCCTACCTTCTTTCATCTTTGCACTTACTTTTTATTCTTTTCTCTTTTCATTACGTTCTTCCTCCATTGTCTTTTTTTTTTCTCTTCTGTGCACATTTTCTCTCTTGCTCTTTTGTTTTCTTTCTCTTCTATTTTCCTCTTTCTCTTTCCTAACTTTTCTCTTTCTTTCCTCTCTTTTTCCTTCTTTTCTCTTTTTTCCACTTTTTTTTATCTCTCTTTCCTTCTTCTTCACTTTTTATTTTTTTCTCTTTCCTTTTTTCTTTTCCTTTTTTTTCTCCTTTCCGCACTTTTCCTTCTCTCTTCTTTTCCTTTTTCTATCTTTCCTTTCGACTTATTCTCTTTTTTGTCTCTTTCTTTTGACCTTTTTAACTTTCCCCTATTTCTTGTTGTTTTTCTCTTTCATTTTTCCTGTATTTTCTTTTTTTTCTTTTCTCCTTTATCTCTTCTTTTTTTCTCTTGTTTTCATTTTTCTCTAATTTTTCTTTCCTCACTTTTCTTTCTGCTTCCATTTTTCTCTTTTTTTCTTATTTCCTCCTTTATTGTCTTTTTTTTGATTCATCACTTGCTCTTTCTTTTCTTTCTGTTTCTTTTCTTTTTTTTATATTTTTTTCTCTTTCTTTTATTCTCGCTGGTCCCGTGGCATAGCAACGTGGACGCGCACGGCGCACGCGGAAAAATCACAACTCCATATATGGCTGGACTTGTTCATTCAACTCTCTTTTCGAGTGTTCAGCAATGCGCACTTCTTTCAGTCACTCATTCATCTCATTCTATTTCAATACATTCAACCGCCAATTCCCCTCCACGCATACACACACCTCACAGACTTTGTAAAACTATTTACTAGTAAGTGAAAGTGTTTGTGTATGTCAAGTCGAGGGTGGGGAGGAAATATGAGACATGAAGATTGTATGACACGTCCACACACATACAATACCTGCATACATATACATGAACACTATTTTCATCTGTTGTACGCGTTTTAGATTTGTTTTAAATGTTTTCAGGTAATAACGCCGTTGCTTATCTCGTAAAGGTGTTACTTTATTCCAATGGCCCGATTTCACAGTATGTGTGTGTCACATGCAACATTTGTTTTGCATATATTATATTTATATATATATATATATATATATATATATATATATATATATATATATATATGTGTGTGTGTGTGCGCACGCGCGTGTGTATGTCTGTGTGGGTAGCACCGTTACAAGGGTC